CAAAGTTTGCATAAACCATGCAACGTGCATGAAGAGCACACTAGGAGTGTTCCCCACTTTCTACATTGTGGTAGGTAATGCATTTGAGTCTGTTTAGTTTCTACAATTCTTTTTTATCAATTTTATTGAGGTATAATTAGCATGCAATAAAACATGCCCGTTTCAAGAGTATATTTCAATGCGTTTTCTAAATAATTCATTTTAAATGATATTCTAGATTATAATCTTCACCAGTTACATTGGATGCAATCTTTCCCATCTTAAATATATTCTCACTGGCCCTAGCCGATTTGGCTCAGGGGATAGAGCATCAGCCTGTGGGCTGAAGGGTCCTGCGTTTGATTCCCAGTCAAGGGCACATACCTCAATTGCAGGCTCAACCTCCTGGTGAGGCCGCATGTGGGAGGCAACCAATCTATAGTCTCTCTCTCACATCTATGTTTCTCTCTGTCTGTCTCTCCCTGCTGACCTCATTTTAACTTGATTACCTCTGTATAATCCTATTTCTTAGTAAACAAGGTCACATTCGGAAGTCCGGGGGGCTAGGACTTTAGCACCTCCCTTCTGTGGGGCACAGTTCAACCCGTGACAACCATGCATAACAGATGACAGAGAATTTTATCTGAAATTGACCCAAAACACATGCAAAAAAATTAGAATGTGATAAATGTGACATTTCAAACAAGTTGAGAAAAGAGGGATTACTCAATACACAATGTTTGAACAACCAACCAGGTCGCCTTCTACTCTATCAATAACTAAGTTGTATCAGTACTTTACACATTGGAACTGGTCACTTTCCAGTTCCTGGTTCTAGTCCCTGGGGAAGACTTGCTGTCCTGTGAGATCTATAAAATGCGTATCCTTTCAAATCAATTCACTTTTTTATAAAGGGCCTCCTACCTGGACATTCCTTCTCACAGAAGTTTATATGCTCTTCATAAAAATAAACAAATGAATGAATAGTAAATAAGCAAGCAAACAAAATAAATAACTTTCCTCTCTGACATTGTACCTCCTTCCTAATTACATTTGGTTTCTCACCTCTACCTGGAAGTAGGTTATTTGAAGTTGATCGGTCCCTTCTGGGTCGTCCATCGTTCTGGGCCTCCCAGAAGCGATCAGTCACAGTAGAAACTGTCCTCTGAGGGCCACTAGGAAGTCTGCAAAGCCATCTAAGATCGCAGCTATTTTAAAACCCAGACATCAAAGTATTTGGATGGTTTCCAGCGTTTCCTGTCTCCCTGCGAACTCCCTTCCAGAAAAGGATCAAGCTGTGGACAGGAGGGAGAAGCACCTTAATTGAACCTCCAATTCTCAAGTCTGCTATTGGACTCCTCACTCCAGAGGGGGCTTTTTGGAAGCCGGCTTAGTAAAATATTTTTCTGAAAAGTGGTGCACTGTAGGGCAATGCTTAAACCAGACAAAACAGCATTGAAGCTGGACTCTCTCTCTCTCTCTCTCTCTCTCTCTCTCTCTCTCTCTCTCTCTCTCTCTTCCAGTTTGCTCCTACATTGCCAGTTTTGCTTATCACACGGTAATAATAGCTTTCATCTATTTGGCACTTACATGTGTCTTGCATCTGTACAAAAAGACCCACATGATTACATTTTTGAATTCTCACAACATCCCCATAAGATATGTTCTATTATTATTCCCACTTTACAAATGAGGAAACTGAGGCTCAGGGAAGTTGAGTAAATTTCCCAGAGCACACAATTGGGAAGTGACTGAGCTCAGATTTGAACGCAGGCTTGTTCGACTCCAGAGTCCGTGTTCTGGGTATTCTAAACCACTGTGTCTAAAGCCGATGGGGGAGAGCTGAAATGAGTGGCACAGGTCTGGGGTGAGACCTGAGGAGTGGTAGGCAGAATGGTGAGCTGGGGACTTGCAGTCCATTGGAAGATGGCACCGACTTTGCAGCAACAGCCAGTCATAGCTCTGTGGGAAGGGGGCCCAGGGTGGCCAGATTTTCCATCTTCAAAAAGAAGCTTGAAATGTGGATTTTTATATGAAATCTACCTGCCTTTAAATGTTGAGAACTGATTCAGGAAAACTTTGTTTTCTATATTTCTATATTTCAATATTTCTTTGGCAGAAATATTGGCATCTGTTGTCCACTCTTAGTCAGGAACTCTTTTTTTTTTTTTAATATATATTTTATTAATTTTTCACAGAGAGGAGGAGAGAGAGATAGTTAGAAATGATGAGAAAGAATCATCAATCAGCTGCCTCTTATACACCCCCTACTGGGGATGTGCCCGCAACCAAGGTATATGCCCTTGCCCGGAATCAAACCCGGGACCTTTCAGTCCGCAGGCCGACGCTCTATCCACTGAGCCAAACCGGTCCCGGCTCTTAGTCAGGAACTCTTGCTTCCCACTCCCCATGTTTCTTGTGGGAGAAACTTTACCAAGACTACACCTAACTTCCCATCTTTCTCCTCTGATTGGTGCATTTCAGAGAAGGAGTGCACAGCTAATCTGCTTCCTCCTCAGGAGCCTGCCTGCCCCCATGGGCAGTATTTCACAGGCTGGGTGGGAAAGTCCATCTATTCAGGGGTGAGATACACACAAACTGTCTTCGTTGTGAACAGAAAGCCATGTTCTCCTTGGTGTATTAGCCTCCTGTGGCTGCTGTAACGAAGTGCCATAAAATGGTGGGTAAAAACAATAGAAATGTCTTCTCACAGTGTTGGAGGGTGGACATGAAAAAATCAAGGCGTCAACAAGGCAGTACTTCTGAAAGTTCTGAGGAAGAATCCTCTTGTGCCTTCCAACAATTCTTGGTTTCACTCCAATAAATAATGTCTAGTGTGTCTCTTTCTCTTCTTATAAGGACATCAATGACCTTGAATTTAGGCCTCATTTAATCCTGTGTGACTTCATAAAAATTAATTACATCTGGGAAGACCCTGTTGTTATGGTCTCCACTTTCCAAGTTAGGAAACTGAGACGCAGAGAAATAAGTTACTCAGATACACAGGTAATAAGTGGGTATAATTATGTAATTATCCAGGATATAGACTCCCTGCCTTTCTCCTCTGATTGGTAAAGAAATTGCTGAAGAACCCTGAAATCTGTGAATATATTAAAGAAAGTATGATAGGGATTACTCCCACTGGTGATAAGGAAAAATAAAGCTGCCATTAGAAGCAAATTCCACTAGGGGGCAGTAGACACATGCATTACCTAGGCATGACGCTAGCCCATAGAATTTTTTTTAAAGATGTTAAACACTGAAAGTTTTATCGCATATTTTATGCTGATAATTAAGGGAGAAATTAACCCAAACTACTTTTCTAGTTTCCTTTTACTTTAAAGTGTAGACGACTGCTATGAGGATTAAATAGTATATATGTGAAAGTGCCTGGTAAGTTGCCAAGCAACTGAAAGCACTTTATTCCATCAACATTCAATAAACCGTTGTTATTCCCTCCTGTGAGCCAGACGCTGGGCTGCTACCAGGGGTCAGGGTGTACCAGGCAAGATGTTCCCTGAACAATATGAGACAAGGGCCCACCAGGCCATTATACCACTCTGCGCTCACCCTTACTCTGTGTGAAAAGATCAGAGACGGTTCGGGCACCAGATGGTGGTGGCTGGGTCCGGAGTGGTGGCAGCAGGGACAGAGAAGTGGCCAGGTTCAGTGTATGTCTGGAGCAACTGGATGAAAGTGCATTTGAAGAGCACCATGCTAAGCTGTATTAGGGCCAAGTGATAGAGGAGGGCAGGAGAGAGAGTTCTGCCTGGAGATGACATTGGAAATCAGCTTTAAAATTAAAAAGAGCCTGCCAGACAGATGGAGAGAAGTGGAAAAACACTCCAAGAAAAAGAAATATTCTGGACTAAGCTTCCAGGGCTAGGAATGTCCTTTTGCCCTTGGAGAATGCTACCTAGAAAGGCCTGTGGGATGAGATGGAAGAGGAGAGAGAGCTATCCGCAGCCCCAAATATTCAACACTGAAGACAAATGGGAGAAGAGTTTGTTCCTAAAGGACACCACCTCCTTCAATCACTCCTTCCCAATATACTGCCCTTGAGAAGGGAATTTGGGAATCCCAAGTTATAGATTTTATTCTTTAGCTCCAAAAGGAACTGTTTTGTGACCCCTCCCATCTCCAACACCAACTCCACTATGTCTTTCAACAAGAAGTTGGTTCAATAGCAAATCAGTCTTGCTAAGCATAAGGTCCATTTTATAGTTTAAAAAATGGAGGCAACAAAGGAGAAGTAGCCCCTATATCAGTTGAAAATACACCTAAATTTCTCCCTTTCCTCAAGGGTCACAGGCTCGATTCTAGTTAGGGGCATGTGCCTTGGTTGCAGGCACATCACCAGTAGGGGATGTGCAAGAGGCAGCTTCAAAAAGTGTTAAGGTCATGAAAAACAAAGGAAGACTAAAAAAATGCCAGCAGATAGGATGACCAACTACAACAGAATGAAAATGGAATCTTGGGTTGGATCTTGGAACAGGAAAAGGGCATGAATGAAAAACAGAATCCAAGTAAAGGCTGTAGTTCAGTTCACTGTACTAATATCCAAGTACTTAGTTTTGACAAATGTACTGTGTTTATATAAGATGTTTAGGTTGGGGGAAGCTGAGAGAAAGGTATACAGAACCTCTCTATGCTGCCTTTATACTCATCTATAAATCTAGAATTATTTTAAAAATTAAAACTTTTCAAAAAGAGACTCTAGCTGCCGTCCCTAATGGGAAATACTGCTGATAGTCCACCCCAATGCCATTATGGACTTGTGGATAAGAGACAGGCATGTGTGCATCATAAAAAAAAACTTCAATATTTTTTATCAATCTGATGTGCTTAGGATTATCATATGGACCAAATATATAATGCTTTTCTTCTTATGAAAATTTTTGATTTATCATGGTAATCTATACATTATTTTCACAGGTTGATATATTGTATCTATACAGCACAATGTTGTATATGACTTCCTTTAAAGCGTTCTTTTGAAAAAGAATTAAGAAATCCAGGTAAACAGGGATAAAAATATTTTAATCATTGAAATACATTGGTAAATTGAGTAGTTTACATTGCAATACTAAGAGGATACACATGTCATCATCAAATTGAAAACTTTCCAAGTATCCTATTACCCATCCTTCACAGGTCCTTGAAATAGTATAGGATTAACATGAGGAGAGGCTGTGACCGTTCGAAGGTAGAAAGGGAGACTCAATGGCTATGAAGTGTTTTGTAGTCACAGAGCCTGGAACTAAAGGAAACAGGAAGATAATCAAATGTGTCTACCACATGCCAGTTTCAGTCATTTATCTTTAATACTGCAATGTCATACATTGTCCCTAATGAAGGAAATTCTCTGACATTTAAATAAAGCTGAAAACCAAATAGTAAAAAAAGGGAAAGAGATAACAGTAAGAGTCAATTTAACAATTCTACAGCTAAAAAAATTAATGTGAAGTAGAAATAGTGAGAGATAGCAGACAAATATATTATTTCAGGTAATTCGTCTATTGTGCCTTATTATCTTCAGTTACAAATAGAAGAAGGACTTGGTTATATAAAAACTATCAAAAAAAGCATCCGTGAAAAGACGTCATCTCCATGAGCCGGGCTGAGTGGCCAGGATGGGAAGGCTGCAGGCGCAGAGCAGGCTGGCGGGGCAGCAGTCTGTAGCTCGTCTTTCGTAGGTGAACCGCGGAGAGTTCCATATGCAGGTGTACTGTCTAACTCGGTCCTTTCCAATAGCACATGGTTCCATATGCACCCATGGCTTTAACCACAGACTTAAGAACTCTGGGGAGGTTGGGGAGGCAGGTGACTGTTTAGAATTTCCTTGGAAATGTCTGCACATTACAGCGTCTCTAAATCTTGATGAACAAGCTCTGAAGATAACAAAGAGAAATCATTAGCAAGCTTGAAAAGGTACAATGTCAATAAAAATATATCAGCTGCCTGGCCGGCATGGCTCAGTGGTTGAGCATTGACCTATGAACCAGGAGGTCATGGTTTGATTCCCGGTCAAGGCACATGCCTGGGTTGTGGGCTTAATCCCCAGTGTGGCAAGAGACAGCCAATCAATGATTCTATCTCATCATTGATATTTCTATCTCTCTCTCCCTCTCCCTTTCTCTCTGAAATCTTCCTCAGATTGCTATATTGGTTCCACAGCAATCTGAAGGTCTATCAATTATTTACTGGTTTTCTTTTAAGTAAAACACACGTTCAACATTCACTTACTGTTTACTTAAGACTTAATGCATAGCCAGCGCTAACCACTGACTTATATAAAGACACAAAGTCAGGTAGAAGAGAAGACTCATAAACTTACAAATAAAACATGTCATAATAACTCCCCACACTAGCTGCATATCAGCATCACCCAAGTTAAAGTACAGACTGCTCAGCCTCAGCCCATCCCTTCCCTACTTGGGCAGACCCCTGGGAGGGGTCCTGCCATCCACATTATGTCAAAGGGGGATGCTGACGTAGCTAGCTAGCCCATCCATTGGCATCTGAGAGCCATCCCTTGAGCTCCTCTGTACTGGCACCACTCCACATCCTTAAGTGGGCATAACCTTCACCATCGAGTCATCTGTAGAAAAACTACATGTTTGTATCATGATATAAGTATTCTTAAAACATTCTGAAATCACTCCCCAATTTGCTTCAAAAAGCACCCAAGTCAACTTTGAACTTTGGTCATGAGTGAGTTCTGTGGCTTTATTTCAAAAGAGATTTTACGTGTGAAGGCACAAAAACATGTCTCCACTCCTCTGCATACAATGTCTTTCTTTCCAAAGAACAGAGTTCTCATCAGGGTTTCTGCCCAGTAGTTTAAGCCCGAAAGCCATGGGTTCAGCTGTGTTACAGATAAGCACGGCATGGATGCTTAGCAACCAGGGAAAACTGACAGCCTTTCAACTTAGGAAACGTTGCAGGTAATTCAAAGGAGGCCAAAGAAGAAACCAGAATCAAGCCGGTTGTGTAGAAACAGGGAAAACTGAGAAGAGAGACAGATGGCAATAAAATAACATACATTTACAGCTATTAGTTGTAAGGAAATATTCTAGCCAGTTGTCTAAAGTTAGGTGGGCTGGCTTGCGAGCAACTATGCTAAATTGTTATCAGGGAATTTTAGGTGAACACACAAAATTTAGCAATCATCTTGCCTCCTCTGAGAAAACTAAAAGTGAGAGAAGCTAAAGGATTTGTCTAAGATCCTGTGTTAACAGAGCTACGGAGTCACCTAATACCTGTCTACGTGGAACCTTTTCCCACTCTATTCCCTTGCTTTTTAAATACACCCTGTTTTCTTCTCTCCCCCCCCCCCCCATCTCTCTTCCACCCCCTCTCTCTAAAAACATGTCCTTGGGTGCGGATTTTTAAAGAAAAAAAAGGGGGGGAGGGGATAATTTGCCCAGCTCATAAGTGAAAGAGGTTGAATTCAAACCCATGGCTGTATGGCTCTCCCTAAAGGGAATGGGCTACCTCAGGAATCTCAAGAGACAGAGCATTCCTGATCACTGGAGGTTCAAGAGGCCAGATGCTATCCAGCATGACGGAAAGGCAGAGGGAGCCACACATCAAATGTGTTGTCAGAGCAGGTGGGCTGAGGCTCTTGCCTCTACTGAAAGGCTGCCTGGTAAGTTTCAGAGGTAATAAATGAAGTTATTTTCACCTGTTCGTGTTCAACTTATTATAATTCTAACTCCAAGCTCTTCGCCAGGACCCCAGGTCCACGGTGCATCCTGTTTAGACAATGTTTTCTTCTGTCTACGTTGAGCATGCTTTATGACATCCAAGCAGTAAACTGGGCCTATGATTTTACTATTCTTTGCCACATAACTTGTCACTGATGGATTGCCCATCTCCACTGAACTTCTGGTACCGAGACATCTCTTCTAAGTACATTAACTAACTCCTGGCTGTTGTCAAACACTTAATGTTGATCCTAACCTAAACCCCAGCCCTAGCCTCTCTAGTCTCTCCCTGACTTTCTAAGGTCCTAGCCCCTTATCGTGGTAAGCAATGAAGAGTGAAATCTCACTGTTTTTGGTAAACACTTGGCTTCCTTCTATTAAATGAATTAAGTTTCAGTTGAAAGAAAATAAAAAATATTTTAACACCTGAAAAGGAAATTGATCTGATCATTAAAGACTCTTTATAATAAAACATGTTCCGTTCCATAGATTTACGTACAAGATGAACCAATTCCCTAATCTTGAAGTCCAAGATTTTTAGAAATACATAATAAAATAGTATCTATAGTTCATTCATCAAGGCTAAGTAAATATCCAATTACTTAGAAAAATATACAGTACCTCTTGATTATTGTCATGTTATTTTCTTCTAATCTTAAAGAGAAAATTAAGAAAAGTTAAATATTTAGAACATATTCTAGTTTCTTATAAAACCACAAAGAATCGTGACATACATTATTTACTAATTCAAATCATAAAGTAGAGAAACAGCGATGAGGAACAAATAAATAACGTATGCTAAAATTAATGTCATACAGCCTTGTGTGCACAATAGATAGACCAGTATTAATGGCTCTTTAAAACTCATGAGACAACTGTGCAGTGCCTATAAAATCAGCACTCTTTACCACAACCCTCACTTCAAAGTTTACTTAAGCAAGAAGCTATCTGTAAGATTGCAGTCACACCTATTATCAAAAGCACTACGTTCACCCCACAATTACTAGTGCTGTTAACTTTTCTTCATTTAATTGTACAATAGGCAGTTACTTTTCCTCTAATCACCAGACTGATTACCTTGTATGCCTTACATATAAGAATTTACTTGTATGTTCTACAAAAAAAACCATAAACTGAAGGACAGACACATTACCTTCCATTTTCACACTGATCAACACTAAAAATTAAAAATGAAACATACCAATACCCCTGGAGCATAACCACAAACAGAGGCTAAATTATGACTCTCATCACATGAGTGGTAATTTCAACAAATGATTCCAAAGAACAGATACATGTTTCCCTGCTACTCAGTAATATGTGGGTTGAGTCAAGCAGGCTGAAATTTAAATTTCATATTTTTCACAAAACACAAAATGTATCTTTAGAGAAAATAAACATCACGTGATTTTGCTTACTTTTTCTAACTGTCTTCGTTGGATTAGATACCATGTTGACAGCTTCAGATGGGAGACCAACGTACACTCCTCCGTAGTTTCTTCAAGGAGTAGATATAGAAAAATCAGGCCAATTTCAATGGAACTTTATATTTGAAGAAAGCAATAGAAGCATGGAGTAATTCAAACAATTACAGAATTATTAAAATAACTCATGCTTTTTCAAAAGTAGAATTCAGACTGTTATTGCCCTTGGGAATGCAATTTTTTTTTCTACTAAAAGAAGCTACATGAATAAAAGAAAGCTGTATTGAGTTAGTAGAAATTTTAGATATTTTACTTACAATAGGAAAGAAAAGAGATATAGAAATAAAAATCAGTGGAGTGACGTAATATTTATCAAGAATTCCCAGAGGCCAAAGTGATATTCGATGCTATCAACACGCAAAAACATATCAGCTATAGGTAGACATAATTATAAAATTCCAAGACAGAGAGCTAAAGAGTAATGAGAGCAGGGAGAGTGAACTAGAGGAGGAATGGGGGGACAGAGAAGGCTGAGAGAATAAAGGGAGGTCACCTGGAAACTACTACAGGCCACGTGCACAGGTCAGAAACCAAATTTGCTTGAAAGAGGCAAAGATAATGAACCCTGGGCAAGTTCTTTTCCAGATCACATACTCCACGCCAAAATGTTGTCTTGGTTGAATCTCTACTCTATTGGTAGTGTGCTACAGTGTTAAATTAAATTTGTGAGTTAAATTAAAGCACATTAAATTACATCCATGAGATGTGGCCAAAATTATTCAAATTAAAGCCAGCTTAACTATTAAACATACCTCCTCTTGTCATCTTCTGTTAACGAGTCTTCTGTTCTGAAAGATCAAAAACATTTGTTATGAGCGGTTTGGTTATATAGTCAGAGATTTCATTTTTGGTTATGAGAAAAGGGACAGTGAGTTAAAGTCTATTTTATTTCAAGTTCTTCCATCAAGTATCTCTGTTACACAGTGTTCTGGCTCTACCTCAATCATTCATACACTAAAAAAAAAAAAAAAAAAAAAAAAAAAGGATGATTTTCTACTTAACAAACTATGCAAACCCAGCAAATGCCAGAAAGCTCAACTGCAAACAAAATTAAATGCTGAGGGCAGCCAACATTGGGAAGAGCACAGAAATGAGGCATCAGGAAGCCCGGGTCTTCTCTCAGCTGTGCCACCCGCCCCCTGTGTGACTGACAGGCTGTGGGCAAGTGGCCCACCAGTATCTCATTTGTAAAATAAAGTGGTCGACCAGATGGCTCCAAAGATCCTTTCCAGGGTCCTAATACATTATGATTTTGTGTTTCTCATGCCAGTTCAGTGGAACATCTCCAGGTATGAAGTATTTCTTTAATGCAAAACAACCTCATGTCAATTACATCTTTTTTATCTAAAACACACACACACACACACACACACACACACACACACACACACCTCCCACCATTTCATACATGATCTACTGCAAAGAGGAGGAGGAAATGTTTAACGGGAAGTTTATAGAAGGAATCACTACTATAAAATTCACAGCCCCTTTCCCGGTATAAGGGGAACCCATATTCTGCCAGAATTCCTTGGCATATTTCTAAGAAGATTAGGAAGCTTTCTTTGATAGTTAGCATGCATATGTTACTTTTCTGAAAGAAAAGAAAAACTCAACAAGAACCAAACATATCTGGCTGAACTCAACCTACAATTCTTAGGGGCTTCAGTCAAGAAGAAAAGCAGCCTGGATGGCATGGCTCAGTGGTTGAGTGTTGACTTATAAACCAGGATCACGATTCAATTCCAGGTCAGGGCACATGCCTGGGTTGTGGGCTCAGTCCCCAGTGTGTGTTGTGCAGCAGGCAACCGACCAGTGATTCTCTTTCATCACTGATGTTTCTATCTCTCTCTCCTCCACTCTTCTCTGAAATCACTAAATATATATTAAAAATAATAATTAAGAATTTTTAAAGAAGAAAAGCAAACTGAAAATATCTAAACAGCTTCACTAAATCTTCTAACTCTAGGGACTGTCTAGAAACTAATTGTGGGTTCACCCACTTTAAAGCTGTAAGTATTCCAAATGTATATGCACGTGAGATTTTACTTCATTGCAACAGCCAGTAAGTCCCAGTCTATAAAGGAGGGGCTTGTAAAGGTGGCAGTTATCTGTTGCACATTGGCCATGCCCACAGCTGATACTCCAATTGAGTGAGGGAGGTCTCATTGATCCAACTCAACACATAACCTGCCCTGGCCAGATAATTACCAACTTCATTTCTTCTTGCTCAAGTTGGGTCAGTTTTTAATTCAAAGGTGTCAAAGTCATACTGGGTTAAAAATGGTGTTATGCTCATCGAAGTGGCATAACAAAGTGTTGTTTACTCCTTGTAATTAAAATGGATTTATAACTTGTTAGAATACGTAATAGGAAAATGATGGTGACAAACTTGTTCAAGATTATTAGAAAGGTTTAGTTGGTCCTGGGTGATGAAGGTTATCATGAAATTATTTTTGAAGTTGTATGTAACTGATAGATTTGGACATATTTTCTGCCATAGCTAACCTTGTCATATCCAGTTATGTATCTGTTTATTTTAATTCTTTTCCTTCTTAGTTCTGCTTAAGGAGAGTCAAGGTTCTAAAATATATTTTAACTTGCCCAAATATAACAAAATCACAAATAATTTTATTCTGTTATATATTAATTATTCAATATCCTAAAAACCTAATCTGTATTCATATGTGTCAGTAGTTTGTAATGGCATTCAATTAAAAATTTTATTCATTCTAAAAAAATAATCAACAACCTTACATATCTAACTGGCAGGAAGTTATCATGTAGCTACCATATTTATTGGATAATAAATTAAGCTTCAGATATAATACAAAATGTGAAAAAATACTACTGATACTTATGTCTATTCTTTTAAACCTTCAAATAATTTATAATGCCTCCCTTTGTATATATGCCCCCATGTATAAGATTGCTGCTTCACCCATTCCTTCCACAAACAATTATCCTGCAATATGATGACTAGAGACCAAAGACTAAATGGGCAAATATGGCATCATCAGTGAGTCCCTCTCATGTGTCAGGTACAGTATGAGGCACTTCATCCCATCAGTGCTATTCCTCACAACAACTCGAAGAGTTCAGACCTGAGGAAATAGGTTCAGAGAGCCATGTCATTAATACACACGCAAGACCAACAAGCAAGACCAACACTGACCTAATGCCCCTGCCACCAAAGCCACACTCTGCATTCTAACCCACCACTCTAATCCGCCTTTCAAATAGGAAGATGTAAATGTAAATAACACTTCCAGTGACAAACCAACAAGGTGGCTTCCCCTAAAGTGGAGCTCCTTCCCACTCTATCAAAAGCCTGAGCATCACCACTGGCTCACAGCCTGCTGTGCGACTCTCCCTGTTAGTGCTACATTATTTCCTCTAATCCTCACTACTACCCTGCAGGACAGGTGTTGGCCACATTTTAAAGATGAAAAACTGAGCTCTGAATGGTTGAGTAACATACCCAGAGTTACACACCTACATAATAGAGTCTGAATTCAAATACAGGCTAGTGTGATTCCAACTCCTGCTCCATAAACCGTGAGCCCACGCTAATTCAAACCAGAGAAGCACCTCATCTCCCAAGCTGGGTCTTCCCAATTTGTACCATCCCACTTAAGGAAAAAGGAATCAAGATGGTAGAAGAGTCTTAGGCAAAGTTTCGTTAGCATTAGGAGAAACCTCTAGCAGCTGCCATGGAAAATCCATCTTCCTAGAACTTGACAAATTGCTACAAAACTCGTTTTTATCCAAGAACCAAAGCTGCTTTGATCAGATGTTACATTAGAATTTATCCACCTAAAGAATCAGATCCACACTGCGAATCAGTCGGAAATGATAGCTGGTCCAATGTAAACTAAACCCGCCCTAGCCGGTCTGGCCCAGTAAATTGGGTGTAGGCCTGTGGACTGAACAATCCCAGGTTTGATTCCAGTCGAGGGCACATCATCGTTGGTATTTCTACCACTCTCTCCCTCTCCTTTCCTCTCTGAAGTCAATCAAAAAATATTTAATGAATAAAGTGAACTAAATCCCCTGTGAACAGATAGGTCCAAGCCATTGTGTTTTGCTTCCCGAGGACCAAATGCTTGCTCTGATCATGTCTAAGAGGACAGCACACTACCAGCTGGGATGATGTGGTCTGGCCCCAACTCCACAGGCTGTGGCTTCAGGAAAAAGAAATGGCAGCAACAAAGCTTCCTGGTTAAAGGAAGGCCCAGAACTGTTGAGCTGAAGGCCCTGAAAAACCGGTGGAATTGCCACAAGGTTTCTATTGGTGCATGCAAGAGCCACAAAATCCTCCTCCTGGTGTGGGGAACTAGCTTTTCTAAAAGATCGGGGGGTTATTTTATATTTTAAAATATTTTATTTTTCTGGAGTACACAGCCTTCCTTTTCAGTAGATTATCGATATAATATGTTGTGCCTTTCATTTTTTAAATAATTTATTATTTTTTTCAATCACAGTTGGCATACAATGTATCAATTTCAGGTGTACAACCCCGTGATTAGACATGCATATAATTTATGAAGTGATCACTCCAATAAATCTGTACCCATCTGACACCATACACAGTTACTGCGATATTACTGACTATATTCCCTTTGCTGAACTGTACCTCCTCCTGACTGTTTTGTAACTACCAATCTGTACTTCTCCATCCCTTCATCTGAAAGGCTCTTTCTTGTTGGTATGGGAAGAGGATACCATCGTGAGGCAGTTCAAAACAGGGGGGTTAAGTTTATCGGACCATTAAGCAACTGAGCGAGAAACTTAAGTCTTGGGGATTCTTATCCTTGGGAGTTTCAGGTCTGCAATGATGCCCTGGCTGTCCGAACACTGGGGCTGCCCGTCTGAACACCATTTTAAGATATCATTGTGCTTGTTTCCTCTCACAAAACACGTTTTGAAAGATTTTGTGATCAACTGGCCTTCACAGCAAATGCACTGATGTTTTCTTAGACATACAGATGCCAAAGGGAGCTCGTGATGAGGCTGGGATATCCCGGCTCCCACCGGGAGCTGATGTAACGGAATTGGTGAGCCTGTGCGGCATCAGTGTGGGCACATGCAAGCTTCCATTCAGTTTCTGAGGGAATGACATTAGCCCATCGTGGTCCTTTTCCAACCTCACAAACGCAGAACGTTCAGGTGAGGACCCCGCTGAGGCCAGCGCCTCCCCACCAGGGAGCTCTGGGATGAGCCAGTGTGCTTCCCTGAGGACTTGATTATTTTTCTTTCCTGGTCACTGCAGCTTTAGTGGGAGAAGGGTGGCCACTGGGTGGCATGCAGCTGTGACGGCTGGTGGATTATAAAATCTGTTCCCCAAACCATGAAGAGGGAAGGAGGGAGAACAGAGGGAAGGAGGGAGAACAGAACACAAAGCCACCCCTCCCGGCTCGGGGTGAACAGCAGCATGGACAATCTAGAAAGTCCTCAGAAACGGGCCTCATGACTCCACTTTGTGCTGGTGCTGGAGCAGATCGGGAAAGGCAGCGAACAAGATGACTTCACCCGTGAATCTTCCCTTAGAGAGGAGAGCTCGGAGATTAAATTATTCCGTGCTGGAACAGATCAAGTGAAAACGAGGCCAGTTCACAGCAGATGAATTGGAAAAGAGGCCAAATGCTCTGCTGTTCTTGATAACACTACTCAGGGGTAACGGGTCCAAGTACCGCTATGACTCAGCCGCCCATAAGCTTGCTCCCTCAGAAAAGGAGCAAGTGGACTGGACAGACATCAGCCAGGATGAACCTCCTCGGGGTAATGCACT